TATGTATAGTGGAAGGATACAACTTTGGTCTATAAGCTGACTTACAGAAAGGTGGATTTTAAACAGCTATTAATTTCCTTAAAGGTAAAAAAAACACAAACAAACAAAAAAAAGCCCCAAAAAACCCAAAAACAAAATCCAAAAGAGGTTATTCTATCAAATTGTATTTACAAGTGTTGTCATTATATTGCAAAGCTCTAAGCATTGAAGACCAAGAACTTTTCCAAGTTGCAGCTAGGCATTATGATGAATCACTACATGGTCTAGGGAAAACGTTAATGTGTTTAATTTCTCCATATTACTACTTTAATACTTTGCAGCCATATGAAAATGCAAAGCAATATATTTATATATTGTTATACCCAAGGTTTATCCAATGTAGGGAATCTAGAGATATTACTGTAACAATCAAGCATCAAGCCTTAACAAGCAACACCAACAACAATTTATTTATGTAGTAAGAACTGATTAGTATACCTGAGTGTTTGGGCTCACCTCTGTCTCCATGCACTTTCCCATCATAGTTTTTGATCAGTTCTTCAATAAAGGTACCATCCTGGTCAAGCACTTCATCTCCCATATACGGAATGTTATGTAAAACAGTTTCATCCTCTACCTAGTAACAAGTTATAATCAAACAAATTTAAATTGCATTTTCAATTGGCCATTTCTGCATTGCTATTTTCACAATCTACAAATGTCTAGCTATTCACAGTTAACTAACTGGCTTCATTGCTTTAGCATATTTACCATTAACTAGTTAAAAAAACCAAAAGCTTTATTCAGCAATTCAACAACCCTCATTCAACAATTTTTTTGTACTAATGGTGACTGGCTGAAGATACTGACACTAGCTTCTAACATTAAGGTTAGCAGGGTGCTTCCACAAAGCTTACTATTGATACACAGTACACTACCCACTTTGGAAGTTTGCATTTCGTAAGTTCATTCTCTCTTCCTTGGTTCTCTTCCACAGTAACATGCAATGGAAACTACACCTCCATTGCTTTGCCAGAGATAAGAAAATATAACACAAAAAGACTCAAAATTCAAGTTGTCTAAACAGCAAGCACAGAAACACGCCTCACAATTTAATCTGAACTCCACCATCATTTTTTGTCTGCATATAGACTGCATTCCTTAATACTCCCATGTTTTATCAGTAGAATTTACAGACCTTGATGCTCAGCTGTATCTTCCAATACTACAGAAGAACCTTCTATTGTTAAGAAAATAATTTAAACTTTCATGCTGATCATGATTTTGCAGCAGTGCAAAATATCCAGACACTGATGAATTTAAAGCAAGCAGAAAAATGTGTGAAAGAAGTCTGCACATACACTGATAAAACTGATTATTTAAACCACTTTGCTATGATTATGATCACAATAACCAGTCAGGTTATCGTATACAAAACAACGTGACAAGATTTGTAATAAGCTAAGCTTTTCAAATAACTGAAATACCTACATCAGAAATCCAACATTATGGCTTCTACAAACAGTGAAGCTCATCAGAAGAAAAGGCTACACTTGGTCACTATACAACAATGACCACTATGTGGTGAGACTATTTCAGGATTAAGTTCTCTTTATTCCATAAGAAATATTATTCAGCTACAGGTACATTGGTTGATTGTCTTACATAAAGACATTCATATCCATCAGAAAGCATTTCTCATTACATTAATTATATGCTTTCAAATAAATCTACATCTGGTAAATGCCACACAAGACAATTGGTCACCTGAATTAAATAACCTTACTGTCTCTTTACAGCAAGGTTTTAGTGATATTTAGGTTCACTGAAGACAGAAGTTAAGTTTGCAATCAGTTACTTTTTTTTTTTTAAATTTATCTTATTTGAGGCAGCCTATTCCTGATTATTACTGCTGTACTACCAATACCAAAAAGATAAGGAGACTTATCAACAGACTTTTTGCTGGTTTATTTCTAAAACTAACCGCTCCTCCCAGCACTTTTATAAACTTACCATAAAATTCTGTTGAAGGGGAGACCAAGAATACATTATAGGCACAGAAGCAACAGCATTGAGAGTCTTCAGTGGGATGACTTGTTTTGGAAAATCAATGTCACTGGTAACAGAGCACTGAAATAAAAGGTTGAAGTTATACTTACTCAGCAACACCAGAAACTAAAAGAAAATACAACAGAACACTCTACAACGTACAAAATTCAAAGTGTTTTTCAAAATTAGCCACATCAGCTTTTGAAAAATGCATCAGAATTTTAGGGCATGATAATAAGAATAGGTTTAGCAGGAAAACAGAGTAAATAATTATTTCTATGACAATACCTTTATTTACCTTTTATTATTTTTTTTCCACTTAAGTGGCTGTGATAGTAATTTACTCAAGACTATTCAACTTACAGTATAAATTAAGTTTGGGATCTCAAAGCAGATTTAGTATCTGTTGCTGCTACACTGATGTTAGAGTATTTACTCCAGCCATCAGAGAGGCAACTGGCTCCAAGTCAACACATTGCAGAAATCTTGTATTATTTTTTGTTAAAAAAAAAAAAATTTTACTTTAATGCCAGCAAGAAATTTTATGGAAATAAATCAACCATGTGTCTTGTTAATCCCTGCCCTGTTTCCCCATTATTGTCCGCTTATCTTTATCCTATTCTGAAACATTTGATTATGCTCACTGCTTACAGTGTAAAAATGAAAATTAACATTTAATATGCAAATCTGGACACATCAATGAGCTTTTTAGCTACAGGGCTTTTTTCAGACATTCAGAGGTTTATGCAGCCTCCAAAAGACAAACATGCCATAGAAATACAGACAACCTCTAGGTTATTCTTGCATCTATTTAACAGTTACAGACACAGGTCAACTTTTCTCAAATACTCGGACAGCAGTATGAAGAACTCTGAAAAAAGTTACAAACAAAAGCAGACAGGAACATACAAAGCTTGGGAAAGTACAACAAAAAGGATTTGGAGGTAGGTAAAACAAAGTTCAGAACAGCTATCATAGCTACCTGAAAGGAAAAAAGGAAGTGGAGACAAAAGATCTTTCTCCTTTCCAGAAGGGAAAGATGAACAGAGCTTCACATTTCTAAAGAAATACACAAAGTAATGTAACAAACAGCATACAGAGACAGTACCCCGGTAGAATGACACAAGCCAGATTTATTTATTTTCTTTTTAATCTGCAGCAAATGAAATTAGATTTCTGCTGTGTACATCAATACTCAAGACACTGTGCTACTCTAGTGTTTCATTCCCATTTCAGGTTAATGTTTTATGTTCTAGCTAGAAGCCTTCTAGCATATTTTTCATGCATTTTTAAAGAAAAATAACAGTATTTTTATAGTTTTATATCTTTGGAACTAGAAGTCGCAGGCTGGCAAATGAACAATGTCAAAATGACTCCAAGTGTTTGGTACTAAACCTCAGCTATGTTGCCCCGTTGTTTTGATATGGAACTCAGCGTAATGTTTATTAGGTTAGCACAGGACATGTTATGGTTACTGATTTACACTGACCGGACCGGCCACTGGAGAAAACGTTTGTTACCAGCAATGACCTGCAGTCTTCAGGAGACATGAAGTCTCTCACAAAACCTTTCCATCATGCTACTAAACTTCTAGCCAGTGTCCTATGCAACTTGGAAGAAATTCAGCATTTTAAGAAAGAGAGATTTTAAAATAATCTTTTAAAAGCCACACCACTTCTTTGTCTAGTTTCTCTCACTAAAAATTATGGCAATCTTAAATCAAGTGTTAGCGTTCTGATTCATGAGACAGAGACTGGATTTGAATGCAGTAATTGGTGTGCTCTATCAATTCAGGCAGGAAATCAATCCAGACAGGAAATTAACATAAAAGAATAGTGAATCAAGCTTTAAAAGAGAGGAATGGTGAGGAATGATCTTTCACTAACAAAAAAAGTGAAAATTGGATGTGTACCTGCATCAATTATTATCAAAAGTTCAGATCCTACAGTGCCATTTAATAGGTACAGAACTGTACATGAGTAACGGCATATTCAACCATGTTTAACCATTAAAAGGAAAATTTCCTTGAAGAGAAAATGTTTTGTTTTGTTTTGTTTTTTAACCTATTCACTGTAAAGTCTTCATTCTTATTCTACTGAAAAGATTTGGCTTTTTAGATTATCACACATGAAACATCTTCAAACTGGCTTGGTTTGGAGAAGTGCCTAAAGAGCAACTGAGGAAGAAGATAAATTAACCTGGGCTAAATACAGAAAGTTGGAATAGGCTTAAACCCCTGTTTGAGCTACCAAAAGCCAGGTTGAGTGCTCAAATTGCATCACAATCATGGAAGCGTTTTTCACAAATTTAATGTCCAGTCTACTTGTGCAACACATGGGTGTATCAACTCAACTTCTTTTAGAACCTTTAATTAAATAATTAATATAAAGATTACTTAATTAATATAATGAAGACTTTGTCAAGTGGGTATGTTCACAGTTTTCATGTGCTTTAACCCAGTAAGAACCAAAGTAACTACTCATTTGTACCACTGGGGGTCAACTCCAGCAGAAACAAGATTAAACTCCCAATATATTTGAGAGATAAACCAGTTTGAATAAAGGATGCTGAGGTATGATCCAAGTATTATCAGGAATAAACACACTTTAGTGTGTTGTTCAAAGCTAGGTAGCCTGCTACGTAGTTATGACTTTCCAGAAGTCACATGATCAAAGTAAATACATTAATTCTTTAAAAGACTCATACAAAAGGTATTCAGCTGCCAAGTCATGTCATGCTGGAAAAAAATAAAGTAAAATAAAGAACAGCCAACTTTCCAGTAAATAAACAAAAACGTGCTAACAACCTTGTAAGTGGAATTACCACAACACATGTTAACCAACCTCCCTGGTCCCGCGCAATGAGCTCACAGAAGTCATGATGTGAACCGGCTGTATCCTACGTTGTTTCCATTCTTGATTTAAGATTTCAGTTCTTTCCAGTATCTTCTGACGATTAGAATTAAACATACTCTAAAAATTAATCACAATTGTAAATATTACAAATAAATCAAAGATTCTAAATTCACCTGCTAGTCTCTTAAGCTATTATAATATGTACTAAAAAAAGCCCCAAACGAAAAACAAAACCAATTAAAAAATGCTCTAAACTCAACCATCCAAATTTTTTTAAACATCAGTGAGGTTCAATATAGTTCACTATCCCTGTTGTTTCACTTCAACCATGTTCTCATGTTACAGACTAAGAGGTTTAGCATGGAATTAAATTCTAAATGGAATTAGAAAGGGTATATAAGCTAAAGAAGTTGCCATATATCTTCTCCATAGTTTCCTCTGATACTTAGCACACCTTATTCAATCACATATATTTATATCATACTCACCTGAACCCTGTGATTTTAGAAATAAGTTTTCAGTATGTTAACTAAGTATTTAATGAAATTGTTACTGCAGATGTTAACTGCAGGACAACTCATACTTCAGACTAAATCTATTTTTGTATCATTTTAAAGCAATAGAACCAAAAGACATACCTTTACTTCATCCGCACGTCGGAACCTCTTGAGCTGCCTCAGTCTCATATATTCTGATTTCACACGTTTTCGCCAACAAATTGGTCCCTTCTCAGATTTCTTTCCGGTTTGACCCATGATTATCCTACAAGAGACAACGTCATGTTAATATTACCATATCTGATTCCGCTGCTTACAGAGGAACTTAAGAGTGAAGTTAGGTAGGACTGAGACATTTCTTTAATACTTTTCACATCTAATTCCTTGAATTCCTTTCAATCAGACATATGCAATATCATTCCAATTCAATGCACACAAAAAAAAACCCCACACAAAAAAACCCCAAAAAACTCATACTTAAGTGATAGACACTGGAAAACAGTAATTTTAATTACCAATCAGCGCTTTAAGCACCTCTAATGCCTCTATACAGTACCTAATGGATTTAAAGGGGTGAAGCAATATAAATAAAGATTCCTACTGCAAAGATACACACCGGAATCCTTGCAAGCAGTCTTGTAAATCAACTTCTGGACAGCTATGTTCATGGCAGACAGA